CACTCACCGGGATTCGAACCCAGGACCTTCTGGTTACAAGGCAAGCTCGTATACCTTTAAGCCACTGGGAACCGATCCAATGAGCAGCCCATGAATTCTAACTTCTACCAATTCACGACATAGCGCGACCCCTAGCCAATGTCTTCGGCGAGTATTTGTCCTCACACCAGACCTGCTGCACCCTAATGGTCACGACTTCTCACTAGAACCTCAGGTAAATACCTACCTGAATAGGGCAAATCACTAGTGAGCATCTCATTGATATTCAAGTGTTGGTTTGTAAGTGTTTGATTGGTTACAGGATTTTCATCATGAGCTGACATTAGTTGAAATGTCAGCTATCTGCGCAAGGGTCTCAGTGCAGAGATCCTTTCATCTCAAAGGACAAAAACCGAAATCAGATAAATCTGTAAACTCTATAGGGCGGCTCTTAAGCTTCTCCACAACAGCGTCATATTTACTGAATACTTCGTGTATAGCGCAGACAACTTCATCCACACTGAATGATTTCCACGAGAAAAATATTATTTTAGGTGGCTTAGTTTTAAAATCAGCACCAAAATTTTGAAGTAAAGGATGATCTTAACAGTCGAGCTCTTTCGAATATACACAGGGGATATAAAATTGAAATTTTGAAACAAATACACCATGATTTCAACCTAAAAGTTGCTTTTTGTTTTCGCTATTTTACTCAACATACACGACAAATAAAAATTCACCGCGTCTACTAGAATTATTGACACAGATGACTGATATATTTGTATATACATATTTGGCAGACTATCCGAAATTCCTCTATTGCTGTAACAATAAACAGATCCCATACGTTTTTTTGAAGTAACTCCTCATTTCACTACTAGTTCAAAGTGGTTTACGCGATAGTTCTCGAGGACTAAAACAAGATAAAAAGGTTAACCGACACAGTTTAATGTGTCTGTTAATTTCATTTAAGCTTCCTAATCAGTCCCATTTTTTACTGACCCACCAGTCCTCTGCAAATGTAAAATGTCCTGAAAGCCATTTGTTTGATTAAGTTTTGTGAACTACTCTCTTTTTTATTTGATACCGACCATCAGTTCAGATAAAATACCATAGATTGGATACTTGTAGCTTACGGACAACTAGTTGTTGACTTGTTTCCTTGACGCGATAAGAAAGACCTTCAATATGCGCGCTTGCTCCGAATAGAGAAATGCAGAGGAGTTTGTTGAACTTTTTCTCGCGCTCTTCCAAGCCACTGGCTGACTCTTCGAATAAAACATGTCCACCAGTATTAGAAGACAAGAGCTCATTAACTGAGGCGTCTACATGTCGAAGTCCATCAAATGGATTTCGAGCAGAGGTGAAGTCACTTGCATCTTAATCAATAATAAGTTTATTTGTAGGTTTTTTCTGAAGACCTTACTTCATCTGTTAGTAAAAGACGTCGGGTAATCATCGAGTCTAGTGACGAGGATGAAAATGATACTTCCATTCTTTCGGAGTCGAAAACAGAAATTCCAGCTAAACGTGATGTGGGTTTTTCTTTCGCTTCGTGATTTCCTTGGTAGTTATCAAGCTTTTGTCACTCCCCTCAATTGGTGAAAAAGCAAACTGCAAAACGAGAGGAAGATACCGATATTTCGCAACTAGAGACTAGTGGAATTACAGAGACCAATGAGTCTTTCTTCGATGACGACTGCATGTCATGGACTCACTTAACTCTCCCTTTCTTAGACCCTTATAAGATCAAAGATGCAAACGGTAGGAAACCGGATCATCCGAACTATGACCCTTGCACACTATACGTCCCGGAAGAATTTAAGGTTTGCTCTAAACTCCCATTTCTAATTTTAGGCTAAACAATCGCCGGGGATGCGCCAATGGTGGGAAATGAAGTCGCGGTATTATGACGTGATCCTATTCTTTAAAGTTGGGAAGTTCTATGAAATGTACCATATGGATGCCATGGTCGGTGTAAAAGAACTTGGTTTAGTTTTTATGAAGGGGAACTTCGCTCACTGTGGATTTCCTGAGGTTGCTTTCGCTCGTATGGCTGACCAACTTGTCCACAAAGTAAGTACCTGAAATCTGCTATGATCACATAATTTCAAGGGTTATAAAGTTGCTCGTGTTGAACAGACGGAATCAGTTGATGCTATGACAGAACGATGTAGAGGGAAATCTTCAAGTGAAAGAGTTGTTCGTAGAGAAATATGCCAACTTATAACTCCAGGCACATGCACAGCCAGTACTCGTTCGGAGATTTCTGATGTCAGATCCGTTGTTATGAACGATGGAGATTTTGAGGATGAGAATGCTAAGGATTCCATAGACTCTGTACATTCGGACTCGTATCTGCTTGCACTAACCGAACTACAAAACAACGAAAATAATTCCTTTACTTTTGGGATAGGCTTACTGAATGCTTCCACTGGAAAGATTAGTGTAAGTTACCTTCATTTACCTAATACGGAAATAGGTCGGTCAATTTGTGGATGATCGCCATTGTTCCAGGTTACGTACATTTTTATCCCATCATTCTCCTAGCCAGGTAAGATAAATCTTCATCTCCTCGGATAAAGTTTATCTGAGTTTTTAAAAAATCTCATTATTGGGCCAATTTAATTTCAACTAAGTCTAAGTTCTGGTCTATAGTGACTTTGCTAAATTCATTGCCATTATGGACTTTTTGTTCTCTCATAATTCTTACAGACACTCTATGTTGAGGTTATTCTAAGCTTCGACTTCTTAGTTATACTATATTTTGATAAAATACAGATTGTTTCGCTTTGTTTTTCTACGAAGATCCTGTCAGTTTGTTTTCAGAATTAAGAACCTACAACTAAAATATCAAACTAATCATCCCTTTCATAAATGTTATGTAGAATGCTCGCGAAACCTCTTGTTAGTCATGTGTAAATAAACTTCCGAAATTTTAGTAGTTTATTAGTTTTGCCTAATCCGATAGCAATCCTACATAAAAGACGACCGTTTGATAGTTAAATGTAGTGTTATTTGGTTTTTAGATGTTGCTCGTAAAATATTAAATGTGACAATGAGGCAGTCAGTGCAAGTGTAACTAAGTCGATTAGCATTTTTATACCTCACAATGCGTTGTCACCTTTTGAATTCTGAATGTATGGTTTTTGTTGATTTACCTTCCCCTTATATTTCTCTGCCTTAATTAATGCTTTTCAACTCTTGTATCTGCAAATGGTGTTAACCTCAAATTTTGGCGTACTCGGTGTTCGAATCGTGAGTTTTAGTGAGTATAACGGTGATTCATCAATGCTATTAGGCAGTCAGCATTTTAGTTAATTTGGACCATTCTCTTTGAAATTGTATTGCAATCAGTTCTTATGTTCAGTAGCCGATTGTCATTGTAATACATGTGTAAACAGTTGTGCAGGCTGCAATCATCATAAATGGTGTTCGAAAATATGGTATATATTCACATCTAAGATATATTTCCCACTGTGGTTCAACTTAGTAGATAATTCATGAATTTTTATTGGCTGAAACTCGTTATCATGGTGTGCTTCGTAATTATTAGATAAAGGTTATGTGTTATCTGAGCGCTTAGTTTTGAATGAGTAGTGTATGTTATTAAATCGAAGTTTTCTTTCCATTTCTACCCATGTCAATTACAGTGTACACTAATTTGAAAATAGTATGTAGCCTCATATCAATGATATCGAAGTTTCACATCATCTTCACGGTCTGGTCGGCTTTTCTTCGGCATAGAATCCTGTAGTATGCCGTTAACCTAACCACAATGGTGGTTTTCTTGGATAGAAACTTTAAAGATACTATGTATTTGTTGCATATGACCTTTGGGTAGTTATCCGAATATAACGAAGGTACTGGTTAAGATGAGGTTATCTTTTTGTGGAATGTGTTGTTTTGTTTCGTGTTCTACCAAGAGTAAGTTGTACTATGAAACCTTCCCCACCTGATTTTATATGTAACCGAAACGTAAAAATAGTACCAAAACCCGTTGCGGGACATCTGAAAGTTTTAAAACTGTCACTCATATCCAGATGCTTTTCAGCGTTAGGCAGTTTTTATTTGTCTTAAATTAATGTTTTTCTATTATTTCTCTACTATCAGTTAGCGAGAATACAATGAACCTCTAAATTTCCGTTAACAGTTGAATGATTTGACTGTAGCACACGCTTTATTATTTGTTTTGTAATTCCAAATTTAAGTTCGTTTTTAGTTTACACATAGTCATTATTTAAGTTTATTAATTTGATGATGTTTACATTATTCTCTTTAGTTGCTTGTAGAACGTGGGGTGACAGGAACAGCTATAAGGTCCTTATTGAAAACTTCTTTATCGTGTATTCCAACCGAATATCTTACCCCGACAAAGCAGTTTTGGAGCGCAAGGAATACTGTTGAGGAGTTAGAGACGGCTGAGTATTTTCCTAGACGGAAATGTGACGACAGCAGTGGTTTAAACCAGCAACCTGAAACATTTCCTGAGAAAGAAAATTGGCCAAGTGTTCTCCTTAGCATGCTATCTGAAGGTCAGTATCGTAAAAGCAGGGTGAATAGTTTTCTTATTACAGCTATTCATGTACACTTTCCTTTTAAATTTGTTTTAGATACCTTTATGCAGGAGAAATAGGAATGACGATGTATTTGAGTGTGAAGGCAAACTGAAGACATAAGCACATTAAACATAGAGGCAATTTCATATGCGTAATCCATCACCAATGAATTAGTACCTGTACGTAGAACGATTTACTCTAGTTTAGTATAAATAAATCTACTTTACATAGTGGCGGAGGTCATTTGTGATCGAACAACCTTTTCGGATGACATTGATCCTAATTATTCTAGAGCACTATCAGACATGGAAAACTCGTTGTTTGCAGTTTGTGTATGTGAGCATTTGTCTAAGTATCTTTTCATTTCAGAGTCGTAACTGTGTGGTACAAGTAATCCTTTTAAAGCAGTAGATCATGTCTTTGAAACCTTTCTTACTTATGGGAGTTTGGCCAACTTGTCAGTATCACCTGTCTTCTTTTAGGATTTATATATTTTCTATTTCATGATTATAAAAGTGGTTGCTGAGATTGCTGATTATTTTTATCATACCTTACTTCAATCTATTATTTTAAGAAAGGTAGATTTAGGTTAAAAGAAACTTTCAAGTGGTCGTTCCAAGACATGGCACCAGTCTATACTTAAGCCGTGTAAGCAGATGAGGACTGCCGGGCTACAATTGAGAGGCTTCGAGTGATATAGTTTAGAATCATTTGCAGCTATATTAATTGTAGTAGACGACTTATTTACTTGTGTTTCCCTTCATCCAATGACATGTTATGCTTATTTCTTAATTCATTGAAGCCTATCACAGAATGAATTTATATAACAAAATCACAGTGATTCTGTGCTCATTGACTCTACATCTAACACTTGGGATTGTTTTTTGAACGTCTCCTGGCCTTTCGACATTTGTGCTTAAATAAAATCAACATTAATTTGATTTCCGCAGATACAACTTCTGGAATGAGCAATGTTATCAGTGCATTGGTCACTATATCTTGTATCTTTACTACATATGAAACGCACTCAAGAAATCCTCATATTTTGCTCAATGCTTTCAAGACTGAATTTTTGGATACTGAACGTAAACAGTGTCATCTATAGTGCTTCTTCGGAAATTTTGAATGACAATAGTGTTTACAGTCTTTTTTGATCAGTATTAGGTTGCTTTCACGTCAGTAGACAATTAGCTATTCGTGTGAGTTCCAGTGAAGACAAATGATTACCATAATACCTTTTCCATTGCATAAACTCCCCTCAAGTGTTATCATCCTTATATCAAGGAGAAGTCCATATCAGAATCACCGATATTTCGTTCGTTTTCATCTATGTAGTTAAGTCTGTTTTAACATTCAGGAGATTAACGTTTGCCCCGAGCTTCTAACTTGCATCACTCAGTGCTCGAATCGTAAACTTGACAACTAAACTATTAGATAAAGCCAAAAAACACTTAGTGATACATATCGGAATCCTCTGGGTTGTTAATTTTTTTAAAGGTGCAGATACACCTTACTGTTGAGCACTAAAATGCATGAAATCTATTTACGGGTTTATCTGTTGATGAGCACCTGTCTTCAGTTTACGGTGTTTAGGAATTTTCCGTCACTTATTTTGGATGTCGTATTTCTAAGCTGATCGTTAGATCTTTATCAACATTAAAAACTATAATGACATCGAGGACTAATTTTTTGAGGTAGGCATCAATTGTGGGTTCCGTTAAGTATGTTTGCTATCCAGAATCTGATGGAAAACAAATGCGTTGTTCTCCTTGTCCAAAATCCATTCTAGTCTCAGATAAGCCGTCTTAGTTATACCAGATGCAGAGTAACTTAGGCCCAAAATTAGTGAAACCAACTGCTTTGAGATCGTAGAAAGATTTGATCTACTATATGGCAATGAGTGTAAAAGAAGTAGGAGTTGTTTATGTAATACGAACTTGATTCAAAACACTCAATCTCTGTGACGGTATTTCAACAAAATGGTGACTCCTTAAAGTATTTATTTCATGTTCGATAGTGGTTTGTGATGGTGAAATAATAAACAACACTACTTGTTGCGATCTTCATTTTGTAACACTCAAGGTTCTGAGATTCATCGTACCATTTTTAGTGTAATAAATATAATTCGATTAAATAGCATTTGGTTTCGCACGTGTTAACGAATACTTTTGCCTAACATTCTCTGATATTTTCTTCCAGATGACCCATTGGGGAGAACAGTAAAACCGGAATGGGAGTTAGCTTATCGGTGTCTTGGCGCTCTTGTGTATTACTTGCGCTATTGTCTAATAGATCACGAAGTGATGTCGTTGGGTTACATTGATATATATGTACCGCCAGATGTGAAGGATATTAATCCTCAGAGAATCGGAGCTCCCACCGAACAGTTCTATACCAAGCAGTCTTGTATGGTAAGCTTAAACTGTTGAACCGTTTTCAAGCATCAACTTTGAAGATTTTCTCTTTTTTCACCCACCCACCCGTATTATTTTTTTATCAGGCTAGTTTAGCATATTTTAGTGTTTGCTTTGAAATATTTCTATGACCTAAGGCGTGAAGTTATGGTTCCGTAATAAAAGAATAACTCAGAAAGCAAAATCTGTCTCTAACATTTTGCTAAAAATATCTCGACATCATTGTTATGCTGTTACTACTTCCATATACTTTGACTATTACTGGTGGTAAGCTGTTTTCTTCTGTAGTCTGATTCTCGAACAGCTTTCACCTCCTTGTGATTTCTTTGCAGTGATATTTAGAGTCTCCTTATGTCGCTCCAGAGGAATTCCAACACGCCATTTATGTATAGACAAACCAGTGGGAGTCCGAGAATTAAACCCGACCTCTTTGTCCAAAATCAGTTTGCCTTCGGTTCAACACTGTCAGGTCTTGTTGTTTGATGTTTTTGATCATCACAGAAACTTTTGCCTGCCCTTGCCACTAGATATAAATGCTCAGTGTTTTTCAAAACTTCATCGCGAATCAAATTTAATTTCTGAAGACTGTGAATATTTATTCAGAAGAGTAATGGCTAATGTAAGAGTAGAATTTGAGCACCGTGGTAGAGTACAATTTCATATTAGATGAGTTTATTTGATTTGTTGCTCATAATCATATCAATTCGTACACACAACTACACAATTTACATTATATATATATATATATATATATATATATATATATATATATATATATAGTTGTTTATTGTAATTTTCTATATATCCGGTATAGGCATTGCCCCATTTCGATTGCACGTGTGTGGTGTTGATTCTATGAACAAAGATCCGGCAGTTAACCCCCCTATCTCTCTCTCCATCTGACTATATTATGTTCTAATACTCTTACCCTACCCCACCCTATCGCGTAATTGTATGGAAGTGAATACATCGCAGTGGCTGAGCGTTTTTCGAGGTTATTTAACTTAGCAGGGTCAATCATTCTAGGTATATCTATATTTCTATTTTTCGATAATCTATTTGACCCCGACCTATTAGGTTGACCTACGTAATTGACCTCACAGTCATTACATAGTATTTGGTAAATTTTATTATTTTCCTCAATTGGATCTGCCGAATTCTCACGCTGTCAAACTCTGTCGGCTTTGTTCATCAAATCTGTATAGTCTAAATGACGTGATGTCTATACCGGATATATGGAAAATTGCAATAAACAACTTTGTATATATATATATATATATATATACACTAAATGTTACTCGCGTGCATCGGTGGCACAGCGGTTAGGACGCTCGCCGATCATGCACATGGCCCGGGGTTCGATTCCCGGCCGACGCACTCCTTTACCCCGCTAAGCCAGTAGTAAGGCTGGTAAAGCGGAAAGGTTGGACATGAGGCTAGCAACTCTATCCTGTAAAAATTAACACTGCTACAGAAACTTCAAGCCCCTAGCTCGGAGCCCTATGTTCCACTGGGAACGTGAAGGAAAAAAAAGAAATGTTACTCGCAGGATGACATTTCGAACACAACTTATGTTTTCATAATCACTTCATCGATTGTAGCTACACAGCCTCGAAGCTTGATTTTTATGCTTCCCTTTCTTCCCTCGCACTTGTCCTGGGAGTAGTAGAATTTTCCAGATGCTTGGGACAGGTGTCGAATCATTCCCATTTCACATATTCTCAGTTGATTTAATACTTAGAGCTTCACTTATCAACTTCTTCCTTCACTCTGTTAAATTAGATTTCAAGACTGTCATACTGTTCCATCTTATTGTACCATTGTGTGTAATTCAGTGCAGTCCTATGGCTGATCTATTTGCTAGACTTCTTAACTTATTGGTACCAACTAATCTAGATTTTGCTGGGTGTTTTGTACAATAGGATAGAATAAGATGATGAGTGGGAAGAAAGAGAACTTAAACAGGAAGTGTTGAAGTTGTATAGTTACTATCGATATGATGAAAAATAAATTGTATTCGAAATGTCATCTGGTAAATAATACTGTTTGAGTGTGTAAAATATCCAACAAACAAATTAATATGGAATTACAGTGCCAACGTTCTATTCATATATCGAACTTTTGTACAATACGAGTACATCCATCCACTAGATCCATAAGTGGTATTCGGTGTTTTGTGATTTAAGTAACTTGAAAATCCCCATCCAGTCATATAAAAGAAAAGAAGGTGTTCAGCGAATTCATTCACTGAGCTGTACAATCGCATATTTATACAATTTTGTTTCTGTGTGTGTACATTAGATTTATAAAGTTTAGATAATTATGTAATATAAGTATTTTTTGGCTTGGAGACAAACGTTAAAATGGAAAATAAAATAGAATTGATTAAGTGAATTGGATGATGTAATACAGTTGAGCAGAATTCAGATTAGGTTAGGTTGGCAACAATGTTAATGAGTGGTGTTTAAAATCAAATAAGGGTGGAGTTAGAGAATAATACAGTTGAAAATAAGTAAGTTAATCGGATGACGTAACACAGTTGGCTAGAAATTGGACGTGGGTCAAGTTAGTAACATTGTTAATGAGGGTAGAGATTACAATAGGGTGGGGTAGAGAATAATATAAATGAAGATGTGAAATAATAAAATGCAAGAGACAAAATAATACAATTAGTAAGACTGAAATTAAGAAAGATTACGTCCATTGTAGATTTAATGAATGAACGAATTTCTTTTGTATGCAGAGTTCAGGATTTAGCAGATGAATTGCCATTGCTTCTGCGATATGGAGAAGTTTGATCCGTACACTTTTAGCAAGATTTCCTTGTATTCTGTAGATAACTTTGATTTGTTTAATTTATGATCTAATAAGCTCCATATTCTTTTATCCTGTTGGTTGATCCATTTCCCCCTAGGCCTTCTAACACTTTAGTTTCCAATACATTGATGCACATACAATACTTTTTAATAATTATTCATAATATAGATATTCTTATAATTTTGTATTGTCCATAAAAACATTTACAGGTTTTGGACAGTATTACACTATCTAACTTAGACATAATTAGAAACAATGTGGATGGTTCACAAGAAGGAACATTGTTGCAGCGTCTTAACACATGTTGTACCTTTTTTGGTAAGTTTCGTAGGATCTCTTTTGAAAAATATCTTTGCACAAATTATGTTCATTTAGAAGACTGAATAAATTTGTTCTTTTTGAAGGGATGTATTTTTTGATGTATGAAGGAATAATAATTTTATAGAAATATTTTTGCAAGTGGTTACGTAAGAAAGACGGTATATCCAGGTTCAAGGTCATAAGGGGTTCCTACGTCGGCTGGTTATATATTTTCGTGAATTCGTTTGCCATTAAAATTTAAAGGCTTTTTTTGCATTTTGCATATTTTAACGTGTCGAGGTCAATTTCTGTCACTGGATGCTACTCTAAGCTTATTTTTAGTCTGAAGTTCACAGTTATTAAGTTGATAGTTAACGATTATGGTAATCATTGAGCTAATTCTGATATACTAGACTAAGATAGTAGTGTTCATAACACAAAAATGAAATTTAATTGCAGTTTCCCAAGCTTACTATAATGCTGAATTAAATCTCTCTAATTCTGAGCTAACTTTAACATTCTGTAGTGAGTAAATTCTGAAACTGTTTTGAAATTGTTTGTTTATTCGCACAAACTGGAACTGTATGCTGGTTTTCAGCATGACTAGCACTAATTAAGCACTCTGTGCTTTTTCTAGGCATTTTGAGAAGTAGCTAATCATCCTTATTTGAGCCCTCTTAGTCTAGATTTAGCCTCCAGTGCTCCTTTTTAGGAACTACCAGGGTTATTTTAGTACTTACTGGGTTCATTTCAGTTAGATAAAATATTCATTTGCCGCCAAAAGGCATTATTGACGTGTAGATTAGAATTAATTCAGAATTGTTGTGAGGTTGGGTCTTTAAGCGTTGCCACGGTATAAGCGATGGATCCTATTAGTCACCGTAATTTAGGATGTGCTATGAACCAGTATTTTTTTCGGCTGATAACACGTTCGGTCGATCGTATCATAACAAGCGAAAATATTCACGCAGAACACCAACTGGATCTGTCTGCCTCAGTCGATAAACCGGGTCTTGTAAAGTACCGATTTCTATTCTGCTGTCACATTTATTTTGATAAGACTTACATTTATTTATTCTAGCCCTCATATTCCTAATATCATCACATAGGATAACTTTGGCGAATCTCTCATGTCCTAAATCCATTATTTCATAGACATCAGGGTTCCTTTCAATAAACGGTTGCACAACTGTCATTTCCTCTGATGATAGTCGACGTCGAGATACATCGGTAGACATGAAACTTGCTGTGAATGGATGGTTATGCCGTACTATAAATGTCGACTGACATGAAATACTTTTGGACCTAAAAAATTTTAATTTACACGCACAGCCAACCTATCGTTTGTTTCTCAAGCTAGCACCTCCAAGGGTACGATGACCTCCAAAAGTACATTCATACTTCACATACTCTTATGTCATAGGGACGGATGTGTCCTTTTTACGACTTAAAGCAACCCGGCAAGATGTGTTTGATTCCTTCCAAAGAAATAAGGAACAAGTTAGTTATTACCTTTATAAATTCATCAAAATCTTGCCTAAATTGCACCCACGTATAAAATACACAAGAAAGCATCATTCTTCGGAGTATACCCGTTACATCAGACAACATAGATGACACATTTTTGAAGCAGAGGTAGTAGGAGTATTTTGTAACATCATGTAATGGTTTTAACAATGCTTAGCGAACGCAACAAAATGGTTTTAAACAGATGAATAATAGTACATACTTCAGTACTTATATACCACTTTCGTGGCCCAGTAAATTGTAGTTGAATTATTTTCATGTAGCAAGCACAAATCACATAGGTCACTCAACTGACCGCTTTGAAAAATGTGTGTCAATTGAAATTTTTTTACCACTCTACGACTTTTTATTAATAACTGCTTTTTCATACAGATTTTATAAGAAAACACTTTGTCGCCTTTCCACTAGTTCCTGTCCATTCTACACGAGCTTATTGATTAGTCATTATCTTACACTTATTACGTCATGTCAACTTCTGCCTCTTTTCTAGCTTACAATTAGTCATCCCATCTAGGTTACACCTTGCATTACGTAATACATTTTTCGAGGACAAAGTTTACCAGTATCTGATTGGTCTTATGATTTCTTTGTTAAATATAATTACGACTGCACAGCTCATGAAAATGAATCGTCAGAAAGGAAATTTGCTTCTCTGTTTACGCCTTTTTCTTATAAAATATGTATATATCCTAATCAAAGGCAGAATAAATGTTTAGAAATTGTAGTTGAATTGTATTCACCTAGTCAGCAAAAATGCATGTATCCTATTTTGGGACTCTCGAAATACTTGTTGAATTATATTCACTTAGTAAAGTTCTTATGCATCTCAATGTATTTTCAAAACCACTAATGCATCCGAATAGTATGTGACTCATCAAACTACACTCACACCAAAAAAATTCACATGCCATAATAATATGGTAAGTTTTTAATTCTACTGTCTATTCGCCTGTAACTATCCGTGTGAAAATAACAAAATGCTGCCCGCTCTGACAAATACTTTAGACCAATAGGAGGCCGACAGTCAATCAAAATCTGTCCATATCGATTTTCGGTTAAATAATGCGTAATTTTCTAAAAAAAATTAGAGTTAACGAGAGGTAAATGAGTTTTCAAATTGATTACATCACAAATAATAAAATAGTTAGGACAATGATAACTTGTGAATTGATTAGGGGTAAGGGAAACCGTAAGTTGTTACAACCATGTAAATATGATCAAGGTAAGGAAAGTTGTCAGAATTTCTAGTGAACACACGGATTTAGATTTCCAGATGAATCCCAATGGCTTTTGCTGTAAAACAAAATTAAGACTAGTCGGAATATGGAAAATAACTGTAAGTGAATTGTTAACATAAACTTAATGCTCAGTATGTACAAGGTTTGCTAAAACGGAGCTATGAATACGCCTTGTCTGTCCCTTGCTTCAGCATGAAAGGTGATGTTCTGAAATCTGACTGTGAACATGCACAGTTTTAAGCCCAGTGTAAATAGCTCCATAGGAGCAGTCTAAGTGGTAGATAAACATAGAAAATGCTTAATTAAATAGCTTTCGCGATAGTAAAGTTAGTTTGGTTGTATAGGGATAGTATATCTCTGCTACAATGTGTGCTCTTCTTACTGCATTCTTTTGGCGCCGTATTACTCCTGCGGAGCTGTTGACATACCAACCTACCTTGGCGGGAAATTCATATTTTTATGAAAGATCTTCTCTGGATGACCATTTTAACTGATTAATTCTGTGATAATCTTGAGATCTTTATTCAGACAGTCGTTAAAGCAGATTACTCCAGCTGTCTAAAGCAAACACTTTACTATATTGCGTTTATATTTCAAAACGGCAAAAATGAGTATACTAACCAGTCGATGTAAGCTTTCTTCATACTCTTCTTTCTATAGCTCCATCTGTTTTCCTAGTAAACAGGACATCTAGGAATGAAATACCGCCATTTCTTTCCCTCTCGATGGCAAAATTTATTGCAGTCTGGACGTTACTGAATTTGTCCAAAGATCGTCATTGTTTTATCGTCATTTTAAAGATTCCAAAACGTGTTAGCTGTGTAACGACAATAGCTGCTGTGTTCTAAGACTCATGGGTTTTCATCAGCTGTGAAGCCTGAAGAATAAGCTTATTGAAAACAATGGTTCTCTCTAATTATTCTTGTTCTCAATATTCATCATTAAAAAAGCGATCCATTTCAGATGTTATTTCCGACAGATTTTCATTATTATTCGCTTAAATTTTATTCAGTAAACTATCATCTCAATAAGACTGACCTGTAAATCCACAGTTCGGTGTACATTACACTAAAAAATACAATTACAGCTTAGGAAGATGTGTTTGACGAGATCTGTCCATTTGTCAAGGATAGATGTTTTATATTATTCTTAGCCATTTGCTATACGTCAATCACTAGGGTATTTGTCATAATTTTAATTTTGTGTTCATTTAAAGATTATTCCCTAAAGAATTCTGTTTTACTTTTTAAGGACGCCGTTTGTTACGCCAATGGATCACTGCTCCACCGTGTAATCCGAATATCATCAGACAAAGACAATTAGCAATTGAAAATCTTATTCTTATTGGTGATATGTTTCCAAAACTTCGAGAAAAATTAAGTCAGTTACCTGACTTGGAACGTTTAGTTGTGAAGTAGGCATACTTGTTTAGTATTTTTGTATGGTTCATTTGCATATTTTAAAATATTTTACTCACTAATTACTGAGTCTTGCCAAACCCTGGTAGATTTGAGAAAGATTAGATCGAGGTCTCTGGAATGTTCCGTTACTGTGAAATCCTTGAAGCGTAGATAAATTGTTTTGACGAGTTCTATAGCAGTTATTTAAATTTTTGCATAACTTTTCACTGTATTGCTGTGTAAGTTTTTAAAGAAATCAAGGGAATCGGGACAGAATCTAATCGCTCATGAAAAATATTCCTTTTATATGCTTTTATTTTGTGCGTCGTTGGTTCGTTGGTAGAATACTCGCCAACCACACACGTGGGCCCGGGTTCGAACCCTGGGTGAGGAACTTCTTAACCTTGCCTAGCCAGCAGTAAGCCTGGTTAAGAGTGAAGGTTAAGCGTGAGATTAGCAACCCCACCCTGTATAAAGGAATAACACCAGTGCTACTGGAAATGTAAAGCTCAATATTGTTTTGATTCATGTAAAGAAAAAATGGTAGGGAAACTGTTGATTAATTTCATCTTAGTGGTGTGAAGAAAAGTAAACCAATGCCATAAGAAGATTTCAAGCCGTAAAATAGATCAATATTTGACATTTTCAAACTTTTACTTCCGCTAATACGGATTTCTACTTTGATCGACACTTTTAGATGTCAGACTTGAATATTCACGTGTAATGAACGTGACTAGCTTGTTCTTGATGTCAGTACTAATATAATGACTGTGCGATTTATTTTTCTGCATACTCAGCTGTAGGTGGGCAGCTAGTATCATTATGGTGGAATTTGTTTTTTTTGTTTATAAACCGAAATATCGGTTTTGAACTTCTTTTTTGTTAATCTTGTGGCTCTACGAATCCTCATATCACTTCATCATGTAGAGGGTTAGTCAAGTCAAATTAAGAAGTTACACCAGTCTAGCGTGAATGGTTATGTCGTCAGTACGATGCATTCACATTACTACAGCACACAGCAGTGGTGTGCATAAGAAAAGTATAGTTTCACCTGCAGATTATTTCTATACAACCAAATAATTTTCTTCATTCCTTCACCTTCCGAGTGAAATATTGAACTTGAGGCTTAAAATTCCATTGATCGTGTTGTTTTTGTTTGTAGAATGGGGTCGCTAGCCTCACGGTCAACCTTCTCTCTTTCCTAGACTTACTGTCGGCTAGTAAACTAGGCGAGATGTTAGGAGGTTCGTCGTCTGGGTATGAAACTCTGGACCATGTGTTTACTTGGTCACTAAAAAATATCAATGCACAGCCAAATCACAGTCACTTATTGTCATTTGCCATGTATATTCGGAATTTCTGTATTTCCAACATTTTTGTGAAATGTACATCCTGTTGTGAGAAAATATACTTATGCATTGTTTGTCTTTATCTTCGCGTATTTCCTGGTGTGTTACATCTAAATATCGTCTACAGTGGTGTGAATTTGCGCTATCCGACCTTAATACATATCTTGAGCATTTTATTTCTCGTTACTTATTTGCATATCCTCTATACATTTTTGTATTATACGGTTCTTTTTTAATGATCTGAGATTAGCTGGTTTTGTTCAGTTCTGAAGTATGACAGCATAAACAGATACCTTTTCCTGTGATATTCAGAGTGCGTGCATACTGATGAAGAGTCCAAAACTAGGACGAAACAGCTGTCCAGTACTCCTAAGTTTTCCAATGGTTCTCTAACTGACATCAGCTCGTGATGAAATCCTCCAACCAATATTTAGAGTTGTGTATTTGACTGTTATTGTTCTTGTGTTTTTTTTTTGTATTCTGTAATTGTGTCTGTCGTTATTTGGTATTAGTCATAATCTCATTACAAGGCTAAGATGGTCAAGGTGGCATCACTTTTAAATTTAAGATAAAGTTAACGCGGAACCTTAGAGTCTATGTTGAATCCAGCCAGCCAGCCAGAGTCAGACATATTTATAATGAATGCTCTCATATGGTTTGTAGATTGAACTGTATATTTCTCTCTGTAATGTAATAACAACAAATTAATCTAACTTATTTTTTGAACATTTTTTTTCTATAGAATCCACTTGTTAGGCTGCAAAGGTGGTGATAAAAATCATCCAGATAACAGAGCAATTATATTTGAAGAAGTTCAGTATTCTCGAAAGAATATCACTGATTTCTTATCCACTTTGGATGGATTTGAACTAGGCTGTAAAATAATTCATGAAATAAGCCATTCTGAATTGAGGTTAGTTGGAGATTATATAAATCGGATATATTTGCATTAAAGTCTCCTGTGAATCATGCTGATTATTAATAGAATATTTCACATTGTAACATCAGAACTGTATTCCGTGAGGTGTCAACAGTGATAATAGTGATGTTAATTGGAGCAAAAAGTTCTGTAATTATAAACATAGTTAAATATCGATTGGTAGCAAAGTACATTACGCAATGCATTAAATTGTCCATAGAATATATGCGTCTTAGGAAGGAGTGTAAGCATTTTCCGGTGTTACTACTGTTCTTATCCTTTTGAGTAGTTTGGTTTTTGTGATGTAACGACATTCTATTTTAGCCACTGTCTCTCTATGTTTGTATGATGGTAATATTAAATTAAAGCAACTAGTTCAACTTTATGAATTTCGGTAAAATAATGGTAGGACACCTTCAGTGTATTCGTACAACACATTTCGGAAATTCTGACCACACGTACAAAGTTTAATAGAGTATTAAAGATCAAAATAAAAGTATTAGGTATTTAGGGGGTCAAAATCACAGATAACAGGTGAGGCAGTCCGAAGGGGAAATCATTTTAATGTGATGAATAACTCCTAGTTTTGAAATCGGATTACCAAGGTAAGTTCAATGTCATAAATAATCAGATAATTATTTAATTCAATTTAGATTTTCCCGTCGATTGATTGAACCGAAGTGCTTGGTCTCAGGTTGACACGTTGGCTTCTTGTGCAGATGCTTCGACGATGTCTGGTCATGTAACTTGAAGTCAGTTGGTGGATGGTGACTAGCAGTGAAATCCAGAATGCGCATTTCTTCCTATTTGGGACTCGGTGGGAACACCGTCACTCACTGGGGAATGCAGACACATCCGGATGACGAGTTCTCAATAGGACGAAATGAGCATCCTGGATTCCACTGCTAATCACCATCCGCCGATTGACTTCAAAATATGATTATATTTCAATAGTTTACATACAATGATAAGTTTTTTGTTTCGCTAATATTTCGAGCAAAATTACTCCCCGTAAAATTGTCATAAATAATTTGTGTACTAATATATGTGTAAAACTTGGGCACTGTGGTAGTAAGTAATTCCATATTGGTTTGTTTATTAGGTATATCACACAGTGAAACAGTATTATTTACTGGATGACGTTTCGAACAAAATTTATTGTTCATAATCATATCAATTGTGATCACACTTGAGTTTTATAGCTTTCTTTGTTTTCTCCTATTTGTCGTAGGGGGAGTAGAATTTTCCAGATATCGGGGACAGGTGATGAATCATTCCTATTACATGTATTTGCAGTTGATTCGATAAACAAAGCTTCTGTTATCAATCTCTCCCTATACCTTGTGACATTAGATTTCGAAACTGTCATCCTATCCCATCCTAGTGTATGGTTGTGTGTAACTGCATTTTGTGCTATAGCCAGCTGAACTATTCTCTAGATTTCTTATTTTATTCGGGTCAACCAATCTAGATTTTGCTAAGTTTTTATGTTCAGCTAGTCTGACTGCCCCTGTTCTACTAGTTTGACCTATGTATTTGACATAAAATAAGAAATCTAGAGAATAGTTCAGCTGGCTATAGCACTACATGCAGTCACACACAACCATACACTAGGATGGGATAGGATGACAGTCTTAAAATCCAATGTCACAGGGTATAGGGAGAGATTGATAACAGAAGCTTTCAAATCATGGAGTATACACATTTGATCATAGGGAATAAAAAGACAGTTGCAGCGAAGAAAATTCTCTTTTCGACGAAGTCATCATCTAGGCTGTACATTCGTGTATTTATATCAAATGGATGGGAAAGTTCTAGAACAATTTCTGGTTAGGGGTTAAATTAATAAAAATTACAATTAAGAATTAGAATGCCATAATAAACAGGGGGATGGGTAAAACTCAAACAAAGTAGCATAATAACTAAGAAGATTGACATTGTGCAATTGGGGGTTAGAAATGAAAAAATAACAAAATATACAGGATGTTTGGATAATAAACTAGTGTGGTGAATAATTATTTATGCAATCAGGGATTAAATATGTAGAAATAGTAAAATGACAAAATAAACAGGAAGTGTGGATATGAAAATATGGTAGTGTAGACAGGGATTAAGAAAACTTAAAATAACATGAATAAACAGGAAGTTTAGATAAGAAAGGCGATGATATGGTCATTATTAAAAAAATTTACCTGTTTACGATGACCATGGCAGGGACAGGGGTTGGACGTATTTCTTTTGGATACAAAGAGTGGGTTTGAGTTTTTGGATAGCTAACGCCTCAGCTATGCCCAAATGTCTTGATTTCACTCCCTTTGATAGGTTTGATTGAATCTTGTATTTTACTTTGAAGGACTTTTCGAAAGGCGCTGAATGTCCTGAGTTGACCAGGTGTTCTGTCACTGAACTGCATACACGTTTTTACTCTCCTTTTACCAGCCAGGCTGGGTAGTGTTCACGAGCGCGTTTTCCAAGTTGGCGCATGGTACGGCCGATGTACTCAGCTCCACAAGAGCAAGTGAACTGGTATATGCACGTTGAGGTGGCCCAATGCGACAGCTTGTCTTTCGCCTTCTGGTTGAACAGTTTCTTGCAGGAAAACGTCAGTCGTAGGCTTGCGGCGAAGTATGTTTTCCTCAGCGATTTGGAGAGGCGTTTGCGAAGGATTTCTGCTTCGATATCATGTTTGAATTCTAGATTAAGCAGAAGTATTTTCTTTGGGACGGATTGGACTTGTTCAGAAGTCTTCTTAGGTTTAAGATTCTTGTCTATGAACCTGGGTTTTCCGGAGATTACGCAGTTCTTCTTCGATCACTTCCTCGCTGCATATCCTCCGAATCCTCGAGGAAAGAGCGTGTATCAGGTTCCTCTTTCTGCTTAGCTGTACGAGGCTTTGAAAGTTGATGAATTGTCCAGTCCATGTAGGCTTTTTGTATATGGACCTTTTCAAAGAGTCGTTGTCATTTCTTGTCAGATGGACGTCCAGGAAGTGGAACATTCCGTCGGATTCGGTCTCGAGTGTAAAGTTGATGTTTGGGTGGGCGTTGTTGAAGATTTGAAGTAGGTTTTCAACGTCTAGCTTCTCATCACAAATGATGAAAGTATCATCAATGTATCTCTTGTAGAGATGAAGGTCGTCGATAGTTGATGATAAGGGGTTGTTTTCGAGGCTGGCCATAAAACAGTCGGCTAGGAGTGGTCCGAGTGGAGAGCCCATTGCTACGCCATCTGTTTGCCTGTAGATTTCATTGTTGAATCTGAAGTAGACGTTGAAGGTGCAGCGTAGTAACAGCTCCTTTAGATAATGCATCGGTATGCCGACATCTATGCTGTTGCATTGGATGAAGTCACACAGAAAGCATATAGTTTCTGTCAGAGGAACATTGGTGAACAGAGAGACGACGTCTAGGGAGACCATCTTTTTATTTGCGAGGTTGCCATTTTTAATTGAATCCACGAAATCGAATGTGTCGCGGAGGTTGTTTCTAGACAACTTTTCTTTCACTGGTCCAAGAATTTCTACCAGCCACTTTGGGATTAGGTGATATGGCGAATTGATCATATCTAATATTGGGTGGAGTGGGACGTCCTTTTTGTGCACTTTGTTTATCGAATCAACTGCAAATACATGTAATAGGAATGATTCATCACCTGTCCCCGATATCTGGAAAATTCTACTCCCCCTACGACAAATAGGAGAAAACAAAGAAAGCTATAAAACTCAAGTGTGATCACAATTGATATGATTATGAACAATAAATTTTGTTCGAAACGTCATCCAGTAAATAATACTGTTTCACTGTGTGATATACCTAATAAACAAACTAATATGGAATAATTTGTGTACACATAAAACAGGTTTGAACTTTGAGCATCTATTCTCAGGGTCAATTGAATTGGATGATTTCCTTCACTGTTGCAACCTATTAAGAATACGTTCTATATATAAATGTAAATTGATGAATTCAGTAAGGCGTGACATTATCATTAGGGTTTACAGAACTACATAAATTTCATTTTCGCAATTGAAATGAGCTTTCCTCCTTAGTAATTTCTATAATGTCTTAGTCTTTGTTTAGTAATTAGACAGTGGCAATCAACTCTGAAGGACTAACTTCTATAAACAATTTTTTGTGGAGCTGACGGGATTAATTAAGCTTTTCTTTTGACACTTCTGTGAATTTCACCCTCGCTTCTGAGCTACATACATCCTATGAACAATTTAATGTATTATATAAGCTACCTTGTTATACAACTAAGAAAAACACATTCACTAAGAAGTGTCTTTTCACACATCAGTATGTTTTAACAACCCGTTCTCGAACAATTAATAATTCCCATTGCTACATTAAGAAAACAATATTCACCTAAGGAACTCATTTCAAGGAATTTTTTATCAAGCTTTACAATCGTATATATGTTTATATCTTTGAGAAGTCATGCTCTCTTTGAACTTCCAACCAGTGAACGCCAGTAGTTCGAGAATACACTTCTTTTGTTATTGAAAAACAGTCCCAGTCTGATAATCTCCAACATCTTGACAACCTCAAGCAGGTAGTAGCAGAGAGGAGATTCCGGGCTGATCCAAATAAATATGTGTGGAACTATTCTTTTGTTGCTCTTGTGAAAAATCAGCTACAAGCTTAGTCAATAGGCCTTAAGTTCTGTAACGGTGTGTCCAAAGTCAACAGATTGCACACTCAAGTGCAATTCGAAAACCTAATCGTTCGCTTTGAATTTGTAGAAGGTACGTAGACAACAATTTCGTTATGTGCGATAAGAAGGTAGTTCTTGATGATATCTTGTTTGAATTCAACAAGTGCCATGCCTCTCTGCAATTCGCCAGAAAAAAGAATTTGAACTAAGCATACTTTTTCTTGATGTGTGCTTCAGTATACACAATGACGGATCTCTCAAAAGATCCATCCACCAGAAATATACATGGAATGAATAAGCAGCTAATTTTTATACTTGAGCACCTATCTTTAGGAAAAGGAACTTAATTCACTTGCTCTGCCTTAGGATAAGAAACATCTGTAGTTCTGACTACATTGACCCAGAAATTTCCTTCCTGAAAGCCACGCTCACAGAAAACGGTTACCCGAACTAATTTATTGACGAAAACACGAAATATAAGCAGTCCAAACTGGTCACTGACTCAGTTCCGAAAAGAACCATATTCATAAGTTTGGACTTCATATGCGATCAGCTTTCAGGTATGCTGAAAAATTGTCTCTCTAGATCAGTCAGTAAAACGTTCTTTGCTGCAAAAACACAAATGACCTTCACCAGCTGTAAGTTGTAAGTTAAGCTCCCTCGTCTGGCCGCCTCCATATGCATCTATCAGTCCACTTGCTCTTGTGGAGCAAGGTACATCGGCTGTAGCCAGATGCGAGAACATATTCCAGCATGGTTTTACAAGGGAGAAAAGAAGGGCGTGCAAAGTTCTATTCTAGAACACTTGATGGACTGCTACCAACCTTTACCATGATTTTAAGATCATCTATGGAATTCACGCTAACTTACCGCGTTTTCGTTGTTATAAACTTATAAAGACAGTGGAGACTTTGATCATTCTTGAATTGAAGCCAGACCTTTGTGTACAAAAGAAGTATGTACAATCCCTACCTCTGCCTTGGAAGTAGAGGAACAGACATTATTTATTTCTTATTTTATTTATTCACTTAATCTATGTAGTAAAGGTTAGCTTTTTGGCTGACATCCTCTAACTAATATCTTTATTCTGTGTACGTTTCAGCTCAGCGTATCTGAAGAATTTAGTGACTCTAACCAATATGGGAGGTAAATTCCCTGATATCATGGAGAAAATAAAGTATTTCAAGGTATGTTCTATTATTTGGATATCATATATTTTTTACCCTAAGTGAATATGTTTTTGTTTATTCTTCAGTTGCCGAACCTTTATCACATATTTAATTCTTCAGCCTGTTAGTTATTATGCTCCCTCCACAAAGAATGAGTGCGACTCAGCCTGTATAAATGATAAATTTATTTTAGGTAACTCAGTTCTAAATAATCTGATTGTCAACATATTGAGTTTTATGTCAGTTATGTTCCATGGTTTATGGCACCCCATTGTGTTTAGTCATAGGTACTTTAGTTGATTTGCCCATCTTAGGTAGAGCAGTATCGTGGGTAATGACTTATTATCAGGTAAAGAAGGAAAGTAGATCAGTGGCATTTTGAGTCACCATCAGTTGATGTACCTGTGACATGTGTTGCGTATAGTATACTTCTGTATTCTTCAACAAACCTTATTTGAAGTAGGATCATGTTCAAAAAGTGCTGGGAATAGTTAAACCAAAACATTAGTCATTCATGAATTTGTGTGCTCTTGCTGAACTGTGATCTTTAGGGCTCAAAAGATCAATTCGTGGAAACTCCTGGTGACATAACTCAAAGACGTTAACAGTACCGCAGGTGTACTAACTTGTCATATAGAAATCCTCGATATCCTACCTTTTCATCAAGTCACTTTCTCCTACACGTGTCTGTTGTATTATCAATACATGTCTGTTTTTTTTTCGCTTTCTATGCCTTTCCAAGTGTAACAGTCTGAAAAGCTGAATTTCATTCTGAAGTCCTACCTTATTTGATTTGTCAGTCAAGCACCTAGTGCTAAGTTTCATAATTCGCAGCCCTTTGTGTCGAGTCAGATGTCGTCACTTTCTACTATGAAAGTCATATGTGAATCAAGATTCATAATTGTTTCATACAACGTGTCTCGTCTTCATCAAAGCAAGAAGAACAAAATTCACTGTATGAAATGTGCATATTTTATTTCGAGGCTTCTCTTCAACTGCAGACAGTCTAAAATATATATAGTGTTAAAATAATAAGAACATACATTTTTCTTCTATTCAACAAAAGTTTGGCATGGGAATTGTAGTTCCACGAAACAACATTGGATGAACTGTGATGGAAATCAGTTACAAATAACACAATTGTTTTGCTTCTAAACTTTTTATTTAAGTACATCGCATTCAATACATAATTTTACATGGAGAAAATTCTTGTTTGATTCTACATAATTACGACGGCGAATAAAAGGTGATAATTATTTCCAACTAGATATGGTTTTTACGAGAGGCTTAGAAACAAAATTACACAGGATTAGAACGGATATCAAGTGTGTAAAAATGAGCATGGAAAAATACTTGATATCCGTTCTAATCCTGTGTAATTTTGTTTCTAAGCCTCTCGTAGAAACCATATCTAGTTGGAAATAATTATCACCTTTTATTCGCCGTCGTAATTATGTAGAATCAAACAAGAATTTTCTCCATGTAAAATTATGTATTGAAATGCGATTGTAAAGCTTTTGAAAATGAAATCACCGAAAAGATATCTTTACTGAACTTCGTGTTCTCTTCTTTCTAATGTCCATGGGTGTTTTCCACGATCTAAACTTTATAACAGGAGTTTTGTAAAAAAACTAAATAACTACAAACCTCTATTAGTTGTATCTTGCATATCACTAGCTGCTAAGATCGACAGTGTGTTGGTATAGGTGATACAGAAATCTATTTGATCATTTTGAAATCAGGATTTCTGTATTAAACGTGGACAGCAGCTTGTCTTTTCTACAATCTGCTCTGTTGCAATTCAGTGGTGCGTAATTCCATTACTTTTAGTATTCTGAATTGTACATTTGGATTTTATACTTGTCACTCAGCATTAAATACTATATGTATATACTGTTTCTCTTTTTTTCAGAATGCTTTTGACGCGGAGAAAGCCAAACGTGAAGGACGGATAACTCCAGAGCCTGGAATTGATCCTGATTATGATGCATCGATATCAGAAATCAAGGTGATATTCAGTCTCTTTATGACGTTTTTCACTCTAGGGGTCAAACTGATTAACGGAGTAAAAATAATCCTAGCATATTCCGGATTAGTCGACACCAATAGGATAAGAAATCTAGAAAATAGCTGAACCAGAGTACTGCATTGAATTACACACAACTTTACAATAAGACAGTCTTAAAATCTAATATTACAAGGTAGAGGGAGATATGAATGACGGAAGCTTTGTTCATCAAATCAACTGATAGTGCATGCAAGTAGGAGTGATTCAACACCTGTCCCAGACATCTGGAAAATTCTACTAATCCTAGGAGTAGTGAAAAGGACGAAAAAGAAAGTATAAAAATCAAGATTGGAATTTGTCTAGTTATAACCAACATGATTATTAGCAATAAATTGTTTTCGAAGTGTGATATATATCCATCCAATAAATAAATTAGTATAGAATTCCATTTTAGGCTGTTTATGCATTTTATTCACCTATCATTTTTTTATTATTATAACCTTGGAAAAAAAATTGGAGACATTGTTTATGGTAGGTAGATTGCTGTTGTTAGTTCTTGCATTGTGAGCATAAATCATACGAATTTGTTATGGCTCAAACTGAGTGAACCGTGTTGATTGATGGTCCAGTGTATTAGCAGTTCTTACTTAGTCTTTCTTCTTTTTGGCGAACTTTATACAGAATGTTTCCTCGCTTCCGTCAGTGTGAGTAAAGCCTTTGATATAAGTAAATCCTGTGGTTACTTTTCGAGTAATTTTAAAAGATTATTCCTTATCCTTCAGGAAAAATGCGTGTTATTTTCTTCAGTTTCACTTTGTATTTTCCGGGCTATGGAATCGCCTAGCGATAAGTGCATCTTCTACACATTTTTAGTGTATTCACTATATGTTGTGAGGTAACTCGTAAGAGGTTTTATTGTCTTTGACTTAGTATAGCTTGGTACCAACTATTATTTAGGTACTCATGATTTCCCCCTCCATTCGGGATTATTTTTCTTGAAAACTTTCATTAATAGTTTAGAAAGAAACAGCACCAATTTTAAGAAGGCATCAGCCTTTGGAACCCTTCATAAGTAAAGTGTCTGATTATTCTCTTGACCTTGACAGTAATTAGTTTTAGTCCTATGGTTTTGTTATCATTGTGTTTATCTGTATTCGTTTTGGTCATGTTGCTGACCTGATATTTATCCGGTTCTTTTTATTGACCGATATTTCTAAAATATGGTAAATTGCTTATTAGGTAGGTTCACTTGTTGACGTCTTTGTTTTATTTATTTTCGTCATCTGTAGAGAATAATTGAAGATCTGGATGCGTTTCTGATGCAGTGGAGCAAAAAATTCGGTAGTCGTGTAAGCACTTTTGGATTGTCATTTGTATAGTACAGTTGGTTTAGTTGGTTGTAATTGATAATTTTGGACGTAGAGTGGTATCATTTTATTCCAAACCCATTCATCAACTGTAAATATTCTTGATACATACAATCAGTCAGTGTCAAAATGTCAATGGGGTGATAACACAATTAAAAGGTAGAAATGGTTACAACAAGTGGATTGCATAATGCATAATTTTGGAAAAATGAAGAGTAATTAAGGAATAAGCGTGTGCACAGGTTGATTACGTAACAGATTGTTAAAGAAAATAAAACGATTTGGACAATGATAATTTGTAACTAAGGTTGAAGTGGTCATAAGAATAAAATAATTTTACAAGGATAACACGTAATTAAAGATGAAGTAGTCAGAAAAAATAAAATAATTTGGACAATTATAATTTTTAAAGGTCTAGGGGGAGGAGGGCAAAGTAGTCCGGTTTATACAATCATGGCACGCAACGATGGCCAAGGTAAGGAAAGTGGCTGTATAAATTTCTTCTGAACACACAGGTTTGGCTTCTTCAGGTGGATTCCTATTGCTTCAGCTGTATGTAGGAGACCGTATATAGACTGACTAATTATGGTTAACAAACATATCGCCACTTGTGTTGTGTATTGTAATAAAAATGCTATATATATTAGAGTGGAGCCAGAGATGAGGATCCAATTGAAAAGTAAATACATACAATTATTAGAATATATAACTATATAATACACTTCAATAGTGTTAAAAAGGAAGGCCAGTGTCCGAAATTCATCTGAAATAACAAAATCTTGAGGGAAAGTGTAATGTAAATTATCATAATAATTAGCAATTCTCTTTTAATTAGAAAGATAATACTGCAAAGTAGCCTTACTTGAACGAAGGTATAAGTGTTGCTAAGTGTTTAAAATTATGAAAAATAGACAGCTATAAATAAAAACAGGTAGTGTAAAGTTCACTTGTCCGGATAAAGTAAGACTGGTCACACTTTCTTTGTGTTTAACCATTGTCTATAAAATACATTTGACGAAACAATTTTTTATTCGACTATGAGAAATATTTATGCAGTGTTCCATTGACACATCACATCTCGGTCTATCGTATTGGTTAATATTATCAATAAACGAAAGTGCCAAATGTGCATGACAATCTTCTTTTGCATGAGTACTCACCCATACATCCATATGATGAGACTGTACCTGTACAAATGAAGTGCTTTAATCCACTACTATTAAAATCATGTGTTCAAAACTTAATATACATAAAACTAGCAACCACATCTCCTAAAAATAAATGCAACTGCTACCGAAACTTCAGGCTTCTAGCTTGAAGCCCCACGTTCCACTGGGAACGTAAATAATATATACGCAGGTGAATCATTAATATTCATTATTTATTTCACACACTAGCATAATCATTGATTTCACGCATCTGCGTGATTATTGATTTAAATTACTGAATTCCCAGGGTTTGTTAATATTTTTAAAATGTGACATTGATTTTTCTAATTGTATAAATACGGAGTTGTTGTTGAACATTTTCGACTGTTGTTTGAGACAGTAAAAGCTCTCATATCAACGTCCAGTCTTCTCTTTTATTTGTCTTGCGTGCCCGGCGATATTATTGTTGTTGTTGTTGACGTGCGATTAAGACAGATTAGCCAGCGCATTAGTTAGATTCGCTCGTAGTCTACAAGGTCCTCATATTCACATACATAACAGTAAAGGAATAAAATAATATATGGGAAGTGAATATTATTCACAAAAGGCATAGAAATTAAAATAACACATATTAAAAATATAGAGTTGTACACTGTGTAAAATGGTTCATACCGAAGGTGTGATTAGGACAGGCATAAAAACAGGTTAAAATAATTTATAGCTGAAGATAAAAAGTTTGTTGACAAAGATATCTTTTCGGCAATTTCATCCTCAAAAGCTGTACAGTCACATTTATTTACATAGTTACAATTACCACTTTACTCACCATAGTAACCTGTTACTGTGGAGCTCAGTTCATAGGTGGTTCTGTGCACTTCCTGTGAAAACATCTTAGAAAACACTACCCAACGTGACTGTAAAGAGGTGGCACTGGTTCATTCAGAAGCGTTACAACTTAACACCTCATCAGCGCCTGTTACACCATCTCAACTGACTCATCATTCAGAGTCATTTACAAAGTGAACGAAAATCTTTCAAAGACAGTGTGGGTTCCGATTATTTTCTACTGCAGAAGCCTTCACCATATGCATCAAGAAGCCTGAGATATGTGTTCAAAAAAAGTAGTCCAATCGCTATGTTTACCATGGATCTAGTTCTTTTTGGCTCATTAGTTGTCATTCTCTTCATCTTTTCATCTGCACTTGTAGAAACTATCATTTCAACTTGTTTCTACGAGCGTCCCATTCACACCTGTCTTCAATAAAAAAAACTATTTACATATTACACGAACATTTTCTAATCCTGTGTGATTTTGTTTTTATACCCATTTTGGTCCTAACTCACATCTTCATACTTCTATATCAAGTTGGAAAAAATATCTCCATTAATCTCTGTTTGTAACTATGTTGAATTAAGTAATATTTGTAACTATGTGGACTTATATATGAGAATGCGATTGTACAGCTTTTGAGGATGAAATTGTCGAGAAAATTTTCTTATGTTGTAAAATGAAGTGGTGACCAATAAAGTTGACTGAATTAGGTCTAAGAAAAATTAACTACCGACAGTATTGGATGATAGTTACAGTGTATCACAAATATACCTAAGTTGGTAAAAGCCAATCACGTCAATTTCTTCTGTTTTCTGTGTTGTACTCATATTTAGTAGATTTATTAAGAAGTCTTTGATGTATACCTTTTAGAAGTTCCCATGTAGATAGAAACTAATACCCGTTATATCACACTTCTGTTAGTTTTGATACCTGATGAAAAACACTGTGAAGATAATCAATGGTTAGATTAAATTTCACGTATGTTGAAGCAGTTCCAGGACTTCAGATAGGAAGTCAATATTACCTAAATATTTAGTCATAGTGAAATATTTAATTATGACCTGTTAAGTAATTATATTAACATGTAATGCGATCTCTGTGATACACCGTTTCCCATATAAATTCTTTAGCTTGTGTATTGGGGCACTGGTCGAAATCGTTATCAAATTGAAGTCCCAGAATCTCTTGCTTCGCGTGTTCCTAACTCTTGGCAATTAGCTTCACAAAGAAAAGGCGTTAAGCGTTATAGATGCACGGAAACACAAGAATGGTTAAGCGAATTAACTGCTGCTGAAGAACGCAAAGATGCCAGTCTGCGATCAATAATGCGTCATATATTTTCAATGTTTAGCGAATCGTAAGTTATGTTTACCTGTATTATATTACCAGTGTGTGCTTTATTTGCATGAACTTACTAAAAATATCTCTTACTGTTATTATTGTCAGTTATCCTCATAAGTACATAGCTGCATTTAATTTCTTTTAAAGGTTTACTCAGTGGCATACAGCAATGACCTGTTTGGCTGAATTAGATTGTCTAATTGCTTTGTCATTGTATAGTACAAACGCTTTCGATGTCATGTGTCTTCCTGAATTTATCGATTTGAATTCATTTACAAAGGTAAGTATTACTTTGGTCTTGATGTGTCTCGTTTCTTGTGATTTAACCACTTTTCAATACGACAAAAATCCCTATTTGGACATATCAAAGAGATTAAGGGCTGAGTGAAGAAATCTTCACTTTTCAATTAGATCCTCATTTATGACTATACTCAAATATATATGTAGCAATTTTAATACGATACACAAATTTACCAATTTAGTGATGACAAGTTTGTGAACAATAATTAGTGAACCTCTCAACGTGTCAAGAGGATGACAATTAACCAGGAAAATTAATGCAACAGTTAAAGGGTAGAAGTACGTGTAAAAATTAAACAAGTGGACTACACAATACATAATTTTGAAAAAAATAAGATGAGTAATTAAGAAATAAATGAGTGTCCAAATTGATTGCGTAATAAACAATTAAAGATGAAGTAGTTAGCAGAATAAAGCAGTTAGGACAATGATAAATTATAAAAGACTTAGGAGGAGGGGGAGATTGTTAGTTTTTTTCCCATACATGTAATGATGGCAAGGTAAGGAAAGTGGCTGCACGAATTTATCCCGAACACACTGGTTTAGCTTCTTTAAGTGGATTCCTATGGCTTCAGCTGTATGTAGAAGACGAACTCGTAAAACAGAATTAAGACTAGTGGAATGTGATAAATAACTTCAAATGACTGATAACATCAACTTCATGCTCACTATATACAAGACTGCAAAAAGAGCTTCGTATAGACCTTGTTTTCCCCTTGCTTAACTACGCAGGATGATTTTCCGAAGTCGGGTGATGAACATGCCTAATTGCACGCCCGGTGAAGTTAGCTCCACATGAGCAGGCCAGCCGATGGATGCTCATAGAGGTAGCGAAGCTAGGTAATTTATTCTTATTTCTCAAACGTAAAATTGGTCTGCTTGTAAAGGGGAAGCGTTATGCCGCTGCATTGAATGCTCTCCTTACTGCATTCTTCAAGCTCTGTGTTATTGTTTCACTGATGTTATCACCTAAAAGCTGGTTTTAAAAACAAGGGCTCCTTTAAAGCTGTTGTCATACTGACTTATCTTGGCACTAAATTAATTTTGCTTTTAATGAGCATTGGTCATGATAAGCTCTTTACTGTTCTTTTCGGTATCATTTCGATTTTCTTACTGCTGACTTTATTTCCTGAATATATTCCATTACTAAATTTGAATTGTCGAAACAGTCTCCAATTACCAAAGCTTCAGTGCTTTGCTTGACTATTCACTTAAGTCTGTTTGGTATACAGTCTTTTGAGAAAAGTAGTAGATGACACTACGTATTACTATGACAACGGATTTATATGTTTATATTTAATGACTTTTTTATTTTGTAACATTTAACCTTACCGTTTTCTCCCTGTTATTTTGTAGCCATTACTTCACATTGTTGACGGAATTCATCCATGTCTAGTAAATACCTTTTCTGGTGGAGACATCATTCCCAATGACGTTGAACTTGGCGCCACTTCAAAACTAAGTTTGAAAGATACGGAAATGCAACATTATACTGTGAATAGTATGTTCAATAATGCTTCAGTAGTTCTTGTGACTGGTCCTAATATGGGTGGTAAATCAACTTTGATGAGACAAGCAGCCTTATTGGTTATTCTAGCTCATCTAGTGAGTTCGCTCAGTGATTTTCTTCTCGGTTGCGTAATTTTTAATTTATGCGAAGTATTAATCAATTTTTGATGTTTAGATGTTTATGTCGTTACATTTATTTGGTGTATCAACAATTTTTTTTAAAAATTTATTCTAACAAAAACGAGTGTTAATATATGTGTAAAACTTGGGCACTGTGGTAGTTAGTAAGTAATTCCGTATTAGTTTGTTTATTAGAAGTATCACACAGTGAAACAATATTATTTACTGGATGACAAGGTTTCGAACAAAATTTATTGTTCATAATCATATCAATTATAATCACACGATTTCGAAACTTGAGTTTTATATGTTTCTTTGTTCTCTCCTATTCGTCGTTGTTGGGGTAGTAGAATTTTCCAGATATCTGGGACAGGTGTTGAATCATTCCTATTACATGTATTTGCAGTTGATTCGATAAACAAAGCTTGTTATCAATTTCTCCCTCCACCCTGTTACATTAGATTTTAAAACTGTCATCCTATCCCATCCTATTGTATGGTTGTGTGTGACTGCATGTAGTGCTATAGCCAGCTGAACTATTCTCTAGATTTCTTATCTTATTCGGGTCAACTAATCTAGATTTTGCTAGGTTTTTATGCTCGGCTAGTCTGACTTCCCCTGTTCTACTACTTTGACCTATGTATTTGACCTTGCAATCATTGCAGGGTATTAGATAAACTAAATTGTTTTGTTTTAAAGGCTCTACAGGATCGTTTAACCGACAAAGCTTGTTTCTAATTGAGTTTATGGGTTTGAATGCCACTTTCATTCTTGCATTGTTAAGAATTTTCCTTAAGGTTTCCGAAGTCCCTTCTCTGTATGGAAGTACCACTGTCATCCAGTAAATAATTCTATTTCAAACTAATATGGAAAAACGAGTGTTGTTTGTTAAACCGTTCTTCTTCAAGAAGTATACTGGCACATGACTCAGAGTATTGAAGAGACCAGGAAAATAATTTCATTATCAACCATCTACAGTGTTAACCTGTTGTTAATTAGATTCAATCATTGAGTTATATCTGACGACGAGTATTTTAAATACGATACACATTCATTTCGATCTATGTTAATTAGTCATATACAAATAATCGTGAAATATATATTCATATATTGTTAAGGAAAACCACAAAATTTTTCAGCGAAGATATATATTTCATTCCAATGACTTCATTTTCAAGCTCGATCGTCGTATCTGTGTTACGGAAATAGGTATTAATTAGCACTAAAACTGCTCCGTTAATATACATGCGATAAGAATAAAGATAATTAACTTCATGTTTACTGGGTTAGAGTTAAACTGGATAGATTACAGGATTTTAAAAGATTATTAAATGAGTGAATTGGTAGGAATATTTTAAAAGTTGGTCAGATGTTGTCAGAAAAAAGAATTAAAAGTGTTATGGTAATAACAATAATGAAGAAGGCGAAGATGAAATTGACTGGAATGAATTCAAGTGGTGAAACTAAAATAGAACATTACTATGACTAAGGTAAAGAAAGGGGTTTAAAAAAAGGTTTCGAATGCATAATTTAGGCTTTCATCCATATATACCTAGAGCTTTGGCTATACATAACTGCAGAAAACGTAGACTTTCAGAGTGACTGAATTTGGCTCTGTAGATAACTTCAAAGGGAAAAAAATCGCGTGGGGCAGATTCAAGGTGTGTTCGCAGATGGAAATCGTCGTCATCCTAAGTTCGCTTTCCATTAACCGATCCAGGTAGTCTCATGCTTCTCATTTCCGGAGAACATGCTTATAACGTCAAATGTAATCAGTTTCACAGGAGTATTTGAAAGAGTAGATGTTGCACATAGTGGTGAACGTAAGTGGTTGTTGATCCTTCACGCATTGTTAAATCATACTTCATCTGGAGGATACTATGTGTAAGTCAGCAGCAAAAAAATATCTATAGTTTGGTTTGTAAGGGTTATTTTTGTTTTTACGAGTTGATCACGGATTGATATCAGTTAGAGAACCATTGAAAACCAGGGAGTACTGGACAGCTGCTGTTTCATCCTAGTTTGGGAATCATCGGCGGTAAACACCCACCACCAGGGTCCGAACCCAGCACCTTCCGGTTACAAGGCAAGCTCGTATACCATTCAGCCACTGGGACCCGATTCAATGGCCCATGAATTCTAACTTTACCAATTTGTGATTTAGCGTGACCCCAACCATTGTCGTAGGTGGGACATCTATCCTCACGCGTGACATCTGGATGGACCTCACTGGTCACGACTTCTCACTAGAACTCCAGGAACCTCTGTCCTGTAGCAAGTCGCTAGTGAGCATCAGATTAATTTTCTATAGTTTGGTTTGTAAGGGTTAGTTTTGCTTTTACGAGACAAAATCCTTATCCTGAATTTCTCCGCTAGTCACCATCCAATAAATAACATCTAGATTTATTTGTAGCAATTTAGTAATTCCTTCTCTAACATTAAGAACACAATATTCATTGAAGAAACCCCTTTCACCGAATTCATTATCAAACTGTACAATCGTATGTGTTTCTTTTTAAAAATTACATCCGATGAGTGAATTAAATCAAAGGTGTGAATACATAAAATAATAATAACATGAGAACATATTTCAGCATGCTTTTACAAGGGAGAGAGGAAGGGTGCGCGAAGCTCTATTCTAGAACATTTGATTGACTCCTGTCACTCTACCAAACCTGACCATGATTTTAAGAACATCTATGGAATCCATGCTAACTTGCCTCGTTTTCTTTGTTCTAAACTTCTAAAGACAGCGGAGGTCTTGGCTATTATGAATCTAAGCCAAACCTTTGTGTACAAATGAAGTATGTACAATCCCTACTTCTGCCTTAGCCGTAGAGGGATAGACATTTATTTATTTTTTAATTTTATTTATTTTCTTTATTTGGTTAATCTATGTACCTTTTCCTCATTACTGCGATAATAATTAGTATTATTATGACTACTCTCACTTGTCCCATTTGTCATTCTAAGTCTAAAAAATGTTTTTGCTATGTTGAATTCTATCTTATTGAATTTCACACCGTGTTACGTAACGTTTTATTTAAGCCTACAAACCTTACAATTATACACGCCTTCCCAACACCTATATATCTTAAGAATTATTCGATATATGACATTAATTGTTTTGCCACTTGACATTTAACTATGATTATAATCACATATATTTGAATTGCATTTCATTGGATTTCATTCACATAAAGAAAGGTTGACCTCTGAAGCCTTGCACATTTTAACCACATCGAATGCAATAAATAGGAAAGAAGGGATAGACTTATCACCTATATGGTAAACTCTAGTGAAGCAAGGCAGATGAAAAAACAACAAAAACTTCTATGAACCTCCATGACCTTTTAAAAAATGTAGTATCATGTCTATCACATGTGAATTGATGTGTTTTCCATATAACAAATAACATACACTCATAATATACACAATCACAATTTGACATTAGTCATTACAAATATATGATGACTGCTCACATATTTCTATTGGTACAAATGTCTATGGACAAGTGACCTTCAAATAGACTGACTTCAATTTATGTAAAAAAAATTTGACTATTTTGATGATTAATAAAATCCGAATTTGCTGTGGTTTACACAGCGAAACGTTCAGAAAAATCTTGTTTTGATTTTTTCCCATACACGCTGGGACTAATTCAAATAATTTAAAATGACATGTATATTTGTAAGGCAGAATGAGCCAATTTCATAGTCATACAATTGCAATAAACCTCTCGTGAAACCATGGTTAGAATGAGTGATTGCTTATTGTTATTCTAAACAGCAGTTCGCGACAATATTGCCATCAGGACATGCTCCAAACAAATTAATCCTACAATAATGTTGCATTAGGGAAAGAGAAATAAAATGCAAACGTAAGTTTTGAGGTGAAATAAAGTAGGTAAGTATACTTCTGGAGTAGATATAAATACGGATTCGTTACCTTATCTAACTTCTGGAAGTAAAAGAAAATAAAGGAAATTTAGTATGCTTGCTACTGGTTTCAGTTCTACACTGTATTCGATGATGTCCCAAACAACAGTACCATCTAGTCTCTCAGACTTCACCTATGAAGTCATAGCGCACCAATATACGTTGATTCAATACAACTCTCTTTCATCTCACAGCACCATGCCATGTGCTGACCACCTCTCTGCAATTTCCAACCATTTCTATGTCTAGTAAAAGGTGGACTACATGGGAATAGCTTGGATGGCATTCGTAATACATATCGAAGTCACCGAAGCATGTTTCAATACATTTAGCTATTCCAGACTTTATCAACATCTGTGGTAATTAGGCTTCTAATCCTTACATGTAACATGCACATTCACATGTTCCTTATTGTCTCACTAACCGTGGAAAAGAACGCTGACGCAATTACCTTATAGAAATCTCATATTTACAGTCTACTTTGTATTGGACGAACCTTTCACTTAATGGGAAATATAAACTTTGAAAAGTAAATATCCTGTACCCAATGTTGAAATTGTTTAAACCTGTGAGTTAAAACGTAAGTTAGTAAACAGGCTGTAACGAAGGTAAGCTATACTTAAAATACCTCAGTTCATTATTTCTGTGGTAAACACAAAATGACAGGTTCCACGTTTACCTAACTTATATTTTCCTTGAACATTAAACTGTTCATCTAATAACTTTTTCATGTCTTTTTTCAGGGTTGTCGTATACCAGCTAAATCCTGTAAACTAACTCCTGTTGATCGTATCTTTTCTCGTCTCGGTGCAAGTGACAAAATGCTTTCTGGTGAAAGTACTTTCCTGGTTGAGTTATCAGAGACTGCGTCTATTCTGCGTCATATCACACCACACAGTCTTGTTTTGATGGATGAATTAGGTCGTGGAACTTCGACTCATGATGGAGTAGCTTTAGCTGGTGCTGTTCTTTCTTTCTTAGCCAAACCTAACGGGAAATTCGGTGATGGTTGTGGACCTAGAACTTTGTTTTCAACTCACTATCACAGCTTAGTAGATCGATATGCTAATCTCAACCGATCCACTTCTAATGAAGATGTTGATGAGTTGTGTATTGGTTTGGGTCATATGGTAAGTAAATGTATACATGATTGTTACATATTTATCACCAAGTATTCTGTAACCTGGAGATTTTGATGGAAATCTCTTCCTTCTGTCATATGCATAGAATCACATACATGATTTTCATAGAAGTATTCCCTTGAGTGGAAGGTAGTGACTTTCTTGAAGAAAAAAACCCTTAAATTTACTTTCATATAACAAGGAAATATACATTCAAAACATACAGATTAAATGACATTAAAAATGTATTCACAAATAATGGATATTCTAGTGGTTTTATCAAAATACAATTTAGGCGAACATTGTTGTGTGTTGTGTGCCGTTTTATGCCAATAGTCCCAAAATGATTTGTAGTTTCTAATTAACTTTTACATTCGTTATCGGTTGGTGACCACCTCTCATATTCAATCCTATGTGGATTAGTCAAAGCTTTCATAGCTTAGTCATAAAATCTTTCTTTGAAATGTGGAGATGTGGCTTATTAGTATAAGCACACTATGTTCAATCTGTGTGTCAAGACTTCGAAATCCACTCCACCATTTTCAGACTGGGCAACTGGATAATATCATCAGCTCTCACATACCAAGTATAGCTCACTGCTAGATACATGAGAAATCTGTTCAGGATAAGCAATTGACAGTAATAAAACCTCTGTCATTCACTATCAGTGAAAGTTAACTTCGAGGACCGCTTGATATTTTTCACAATTTCAAATATTTTCTTTTTTGCTTATGTATGCTAGCAAGCACAATGACGTGAATGACAATTGACTTCTGTGGCCTGATCCCAAGTCACAATGAGTAATTTTGAAAAACCATCCAATCCCATTTCTTTTATACTAGTCATGTAGTAACCAGTAAATTTGTGTGTTTAGTATTTCAGAAGACACTAAATGCGTGCTACAACTGGTGGAAGAAATTATCTTTAATGTTCTACTGAGGTTCTTATTGTGGAAAATTAAAATTTGCTATGTAATAATCCGTATCACACTCCAGTTCTAGTCAATAATACTATTTCATTGCGTAATATCCTTTATTTAGAGGTGGCCAAACTAAAACCTGACATCAACTCATGAAGTCTTTGACCGTTGTTTTGAACCGCATAGTGAAGTATAGGCTGTCTGATTGGAATCCTCTGGGTTCTAAGAACCAATGATTTGAGGCTGTTGGTGGTATGGATCAAAACTGTTCTCAAAGGCTCAGTTGCACTCACTCTGTTTAATCTCCCAGATTCCTGACGTCCAAATGTTTCTTTATGTTACTATCCCTTCTCAACAAGGATGTCTTTGCGGCACTTTCATCCTCAAAAGCTGTACAGTCGCATTTATATGTTTAAGCTCACATAGTTACGGTTGCTATTTAATTCATCATAGTTACAAATGGAAATTAATGGAGGTAATAATTTTCAACGTGATATGAAAGTATGAAGGTGTAAATATAGGATTACAAGGGGAATAGAAACAGAATTACCTGGGATTAGAAAATAGTTGCGTTATCTGTAAAAAAAAGTTTTTCACGAAGGCAACTGTGAACGGAATGTGTATATAAACTAATCGGGATAACAGATTTTGTGAGTTAAGGTGAAAAAGTGTGAAGGGAATGAAATTAAACAACAATCAAGGAAACAAACAGAACTAGATCCATGGTAAATGTTGAGGTTGAACTAAAATAAAAGTATAATCTTCTCGGAGGCTAACTTTTCCAACTTGAATTGCTGCACTTTTAAGCAAATTCTACAATGAAAAGACCAGTGTTTTTAGTAAATAAAATAAAACAAACGATGGTTAAGTTGTTATTATTATATAAACTGAGATTTTGTTTCATAAAACTTTGATAAAGCTATAAGCATTAAATAGCGGAACGTCAATAAGAACAATATTGTTTTAGGCATTGGTTTGTAGGGATTTGGTTGATTGGTTACAGGATTTCATCAAGAGCTGACATTGGTTAAAGAACCATTGGAAAACCCTACAAACCAATACTTGAAAATCAATGAGATGCTCACTAGCGACTGGCCCCATTCAGGTAGGTAGTTATCTGGGTTCTAGTGGGAAGTTGTGAGCAGTAGGGTTCAGCAGGTCGGGTGTGAGGACAAATACTCGCTGAAGACATTGGCTAGCGGTCGCGCTATATCGTGAATCGGCAGAAGTTAGAATTCATGGGCCATTGGATCGGGTCCCAATGGCTTAATGGTCTACGAGCTCGACTTGTAACCAGAAGGTCCTGGGTTCGAGCCTTGTCGGTCGGTGCGTACTGGTGAAGAGTCCCAAACTGGGCTGACGAAACAGCTGTTCAGTACTCCCAGGTTTTCCAATGGTTCTCTGGCCGATGTCAGCTCATGATGAAATCCTGTAACCAATATGATTTTATTTTTCATTCATTAGGAAATACGAAAACTCATTACAACCTCTATTTCTTTCCATTGCTTTATCGGAGTTCTGTATCTGTAACATTTTAAAACTATTTCATATGATAGACCTCAGGTTTACCTTAACCCTCCTTTAGATTTTGAAATGAGATCATTAATCGTATTGTAAAAAACTAAAATGAACAGAAGTTTATTATTTATATGTGCTTTTTGAATCCCATTTTCCCTATGAGTTGAATGCTTCAGGTATTTGAGTAATTCTCATGGAAACTCTTGATTGTAATTGTATTTTTTGTTGTTGTTTCATTAGTCTTCTGTGAATCTGTTGAACGATTTCTTCTCTTACCCATATCCATTAATATTAGGCTTGCATGGTGGAAGAACAATCGGAAACAGAATCTGGTTTGGAAAATATTACTTTCTTGTATAAATTTATTCCTGGTGCCTGTCCGAAGAGTTATGGTTTCAATGCAGCTCGATTAGCTCTGCTGCCGGATGAGGTTAGTTCTTCATAAGCATTTTAATAGGTTTGTCTGTATTCTAACTTCTTATTTTTGTTTATATACTCTAGTATCATTACATCTCTACGCTGTTTATCTTCGAAGTGTTGCAACGGGAACTGACTGCATGAATACATGACACCAGTGATTGATTGGAATGAGTAGTTGTATACCATTTACACCAACCAGCAGTGCTTGCTAGCCAGATTAAAGTGATTTAAACACCGGTTTGAACAGATTCCAAGCTGAGTCAGATCAGGTACACCGCTGATGAACTTGGCTGCAAACGAGCGAAACAGCCATCGAGTGTTTAGATCACTTGGATGTGGCTAGCAAACATTACTGCTTCATGAAATAGGTATACAACTATCTATACGTCTTTTCTTGATCACTCTTTATGATACCAAGCAGACCGCACATATTGGATCCAAATAATTTCGGTTTCCAAAGGATGTTGCGTAAATTGAGAATTGGATTGGTATGCACTTTTATCAACTGTCAATTATCCACACCTTCCTAACACATTCTGAATTTTCCTGTATTTTTCACTCATTATTAAGGACGAACCTTTAGGCTTTATGATTTTCAGCGTAATAAATTGTGAAATCTTTAAGACTTAATTTGTCGTGCCGTACGGATTCACATCAAAGCTACCGAGTATATATAGTTTTTGTTTTGTGTGGCTTCTAATCAGTATTAAATTCACCCCTGCTCATTGTGGTCACACTTTTTGATTGTTAGGCGGATGCACAACGTTTTCGCTTGTCTCAGTAGTATGTCCTGTCTATGATTTTTCATTTGTTCCCTTTGATTTGAAGATAATGTTTTTATTTACTCATAGGTTACTCGATTGGGTCTAACAAAAGCGAAGGAATTCGAGAAAACAACAGCAACTTTTGCCTGTTTGAGGTAAGTATAGTAAACTGTTAACTGAACCTGAACGTGTATGAGGTTTGTGGATTAATTTATTTTACCGCAATCTGCGTACACTACGGGGACCATAAAATGCATCGTAACATATAAATAGAACAAGATAGTAGCTTGATATTTTGTGATATCGGTAAATTCATATCCAAAAACCCAAAAAAAGCAGACAGATTAATTTCTCGAGTTTTAGACTCAAAGTGTGATACTAAAGACACAAAACGCCGAGGATTTTATTTCAATAGTTGCTGGCGAATAAGTGAAGTTCGTACTCTATGTGTTCTTTGCGTAAATTGGAACTGATATCCACTAACTTGATAATGAGTACCAAACATTCACATTTACCTCTTCACTTGAATGTAGATTTCGTCACAAACCAACATCAGTTAGAGATCAGTAAAAATCGAAGATCACTGGACAGTAGTTTCGTCCTAGTTTGGGATTCTCTACAAAAACCAATAATCGAAATATCAATCTCCAGCTCGTTGGTATCTACTAAATGTATTTCCTGAAGCTGTGCTAGGAAGACGTGGTCAATAGGGTCCACCGTATCAAGGTGAAGCTGATGCTCTCCAAAGGCATTTATTGAGTCTTGCGGTGAATCATTAATTGACAAAGTTAATGAATTCTTGCGCAAGCAGCGTAACGGATAACGATCTTGGTCTCGTAACCTGAAGGTGCACGGTTCGATCCTTGGTGCGGTGGTTGGTGTCCCAAAGTAGGACGAAACAGCTGTCCAGTACTCCTTGCTTTTCAATGATCTCTAATTGATATTGGTCCTTAACAAAATCTATATTGAAATTAATCCAAATCCCTAACCATTCAATAGTCGTATCGTAGTAGGCTCTACAGTTTTGGATACATGAATATTAGAATACTGTAGCCATTGAAAGGAAAATCAAAACTACAATGTTAGAGGTGAGTGTAAGATTGAATAATAGTCTGCTGGTTAAGGTAGTCCATTGAATGCTCATATAAAACATAATATAAAGTGTGAATAACAAATAGACGACATTAATGTCAGTTAGAAGTTTGTTCATTGTTCCTTTTTATATTTTGCTCAAAATATTACCTAAATTTTAAAAAAAACTTATCATTGTGTGTGAACTATTGAAATGTAATTATAATTAATTTAAATAAGTGGTACACTAATGCATTCACAAGGGATAAAATACAAGTTTCGGAGGGTGAGTTTTATTCAGTGGTGTGTGAGAGTAAATATAAACAAACGGCGTACACTAAATTTGAGTTTGAGGGATGATAGACAACAAAAATCATGATCAAATACACTGGTCGAATAGTGGACAGTAATCAAAAAAATAAAGACTTCGGATAAACTTGGTGTAAATTTGACAAATTTTAATGGTAGTAATGATAATGATATGAAGTAAACAAGGTGAAAATGTGTAGAAAGGAAATCCTAACACACTGGGTTTTTTAATAAAATATTTTTTATTGTATTCACATTCCCTTTCACACCCCTGAATATGATTCACCTACTGAAACTTATGCATTTTTGATTATAAATATACAAGTTGGTCATGTAATTGTTTAATCCCATAACATCTTGTGTTCTTAATATATGCACATTTTATATTGATATGCACTTCAATGGTTGTCAAAACCTACGGAGTATTCAGTATTCCATCTTGTGTGCGTCGGTGGCACAGCGGTTATGACTCTCGCCGATCATGCACATGGTCCGGGGTTTGATTCCCTGCCGACACACATCTGATATCTATGGTCGACCTACAAAATTTGGGCTACCGATATCACATGCTGAAAATTCCATACGGTGTGGAATCAAGCTGTAATCAAAAATAAAAAAATAAAACTAATTTATATCCCAATAAAGTTTCTGATATAAATTTGATTTTCCTTTCCTGGACTATTGTATTCTAATATTCATCGATTGATAACTGTAGGGCCTGAACACGATAAATATATATATATATATATATAGATCATATCTTGAGGATCTCAGGTTTTAAGTTACACCTGTCCATTTTGTTCAACCTAGCAGTAGTCACTAACTTTTGCATCTTCTACTTTGGTTTACCCTAAGGTTTGTTTCAAATCCCAAAAGAATTGCACAGACAACGTATGATGATATGCCATTTTAATTGTTTTTAACTTAACACCAACGTATTGAGGAATGTAACAATGGTGAAGGCATTAAGATATGAATAATGATATAACAAGTACCTAGAATGTACGTAAGATGAAAGTATGTGATTATAGGGTATTCAAAGTTAAAATGAAGTTATGATTTGTGTATCTCAGAAAACTGTTAACATAGCTTGATCCTCCTACTAGACTTCTCCAGTTTCAATAAAGCAAAATGGGGGAATCAGTAAGTAGTCGAAATCTTGACAAAGTATTTCTTTCCGTCATTTATCTGTTTTATTCCTTTTTGTAGAAAATTCTATACTTATTTTACACTGTTCTCTATTTTAGGACATTGTTACAAGGACGAATGAGTATTGATGAATTACGACAGTGGAGCTCTAAATTAAAAACATTTTTATAACATACATATTTCATATATTTTCACGCGTATCAGATTGCATTTACCATTTTCTACATATTGATAAATTTTTAATATATTTGTGTTCTATTTGGTATTCTCATGTTATAATTCGACTCAGTCTTCCAAATACATAGATGCTATCACTCATATGATTAGTGTGATAAAATGTTATGGTGTTTTCGAACGCAGGTGTCTTGTAAACAACACTCGCATGTACTAGAAATGCCATACAATGGGCATGAAACGTTGCGCAAGTTTATTGATAAAGCACTGTGAATCCACTGACTATAAGTTTAAAGGGATGGCAATATAACTAAAATCCCCATTTTGACATTTAGAAGGTAAAATGACTGGCCAAAGAAATATTCGCTTTTCAATTAGATATTCTCGTCATTAGCAAATTTAGTGCAATGCAACATTTATTAATCTAGTGGTGATACGTTTGTGAACATTAGTTATACAATGTTAACTTGACAAGGGTTGCCGATTAACTAAGAAAACTACTGCAATAATAAAAGGGTTCTCTAACCGATGTCAGCTCATGATGAAATCCGGTAACGAATCAATCAAATCCCTTCAAACCAATACTTGAAATAATATAATTTACGAAATACCACGTAATGACTGTGAGGTTAATTAAATAGGTCAAGCTAGTAAATCGGAATAAATTAAGTTAGCGGAATGTAGAGATTTAGAATAATTCACCTAATTTTTAGGAAAACGTGATCATTGCGATGCATGTAATCACACAATAGAATGTGTAAAAGTATTAGGAAGTGAAATAATTAGGGGCAGAGACAGAGAAATATAAGAAAAAGGCGTAAACAGCGAGGAAAATTCTCTTTTCGATGATCTATTTTCATGAGCTGTACAATCGTAATTATATTTAACAAAGAAATCACAAGATCAATCAGATACTGGTAAACTTTGTCCTCGAAAAATGCGTTACGTAATGCAAGGTGTAACGTAGATGGGATGACTAATTGTAAGTCAGAAAAGAGGTAGAAGTTGACATGACGTAATAAGTGTGAGATAATGACTAATCAGTAAGCTCGTTTAGAATGGACAGGAACTAGTGGAAAGGCGTTAAAGTGTTTTTACATAAAATCTGTATGAAAAAGTAATGTTATTAATAAACAGTCATGGAGTGGTAATAAAGAATGGATAATGGGAATAGTAATGATAATAAAGTAACAGTAGTAATGACAACAACAATAGTACACTTACATAATAAAAAAGAAGCAAAATTTTAGTAAGAACTTTACTCTGGCCACGGTTGGGCGAGTGAATGTATGTATCGCTTTTGAATGCAGAGGTCCAGTTTCGGATCCCAAATAGCTTATGCTTCAACTGTTTACAGATGGCGTATGCGAAGCTTCTTTGTACGATATTGAGGGATTTTGTGAAGCACTGCGAAGCATTCATGCGGGGGTGCTTGATGTCTGGAGACGACAAGGTGTTCGAGGATAGAGCTGCTGTTATTCTTCTTTTCTCCTCTGGCTAACCAAGCTGGACAATGTTCCAGAATACGTTTGTGGACCTAAGGTTGCGTACGGCCGATATGCTTTGCTCCACACGAGCAAGTAAATTGATAAATACGCATTGAAGTGGCCAAAAGCGGTATCTTATCCTTTACGTTAGACTGGATTAACTGTCTGCTAGAAAATGTGATACGTAAGATAGCTGTTGGAAATGTCTTCTTCAGACATTTAGAAAGGCGGTTTCTAAGAATTTCTGCTGCCATGTCACCTTTAAATTCTAGGTTCATGAAGAGAGTTTTCTTAGGAACAGTTGCGATGTTTGGCGACGGAGACTTGTCTTTCATGTATTTGTCTATAAATCTTGGTGGATACCCGTCCTCTAGTAGGGTTTCATGTAATAAATTTAATTCTTTCTCTATCATTTCTTCCGAACAGATTTTCCTAATCCTTGAACTTATTATAAGTACCAGGTTTCGCTTTCGGGTCAGTGGGACGAATCTCTGGAAGTTGATAAACTGTCCCGTCTTGCGATATATCGATCTTTGGATTGTACAGTCTTGTCTTCTGGTAAGTAGTACATCGAGGAATGGAAATGCTATGTTCGATTCACGTTCTAAGGTGAATTTTATTGATGGGTGTGCTATGTTGAAGGTTTTGAGAAGATACTCTAAATCAGATTTTTCATCATTAACTACGAACGTATCATCTACGTATCGCCTGTATAGGTGGAGTTGACTTATCAAAGGATGTTGTTTTCGGGACTCACCATGAAGCAGTCGGCTAGGAGTGACCGAGAGGAGACCCCACGGCTACACCATCTTTCTGTACGTAGAATTGTTCATTGAATTTGAACTGGATATTTGACGTACATCTGAGTAGTTCCTTCAGGTAGTTTATGGGGAGAGGAACTTCTAGGTTGTTGGTTTCAATTCAGTCACAAATGAAGCATATTGTTTCGGTCAGGGGGATGCTTGTGAGTAGAGAGGTAACATCTAGTGAGAGCATTTGTCTTTCAAACACGTTGATATTTTTCACTGAGTTGATGAAATCAAACGTATCGCTAAGGCTATATTTTGTCATTTGTCTTCTTACTGGTTCAAGGATATCAGCTATCCACTTCGCGATCTGATAATATGGTGAGTTAACCATGTCTATGATAGGTCGAAGTGGGACATTCTCCTTATGCACTTTATCCCTAAAGTGGATATTTTATATAAAAACACTGTCGCCTTTCCACTAGTTCCTGTCCATTCTAAACGAGCTTATTGATTAGTCACTATATCACACTTATTACGTCATGTCAACTTCTACCTCTTTTCTAACTTACAATTAGTCATCCCTTCTAGGTTAAACCCTACATTACGTAATACATTTTTCGAGGACAAAGTTTACCAGTATCTGATTGTTTGTCTTATGATTTCTTTGTTAAATATAATTACGATTGTACAGCTCATGAAAATGAATCGTCGAAAAGAAAATTTTCTTCGCTGTTTACGCCTTTTTCTTATGACTCAATATAGGAATATTTCGTTCATTGAAGACCGAGAGAAGTTAATGACCGAATCTTTGTTCAGCGAATTAACACCAAACACGTACAGTCGAAATGAGACAGAGCCAGTATGACATATGTGGAGAGATGCAATATAAATTGGGGTTGTGGGAGTGTGTTACATCAAATAAACCTATGCAATATCGAATTATAATCTACGACACTGCCCAAATTCTACACTTACAATAAACCGAATTGTGTGCAGTGTCACTTCGGTGAATTGAATCTGAAAGATGCATTTCAAAAATTAATATCCGAGGGCATTTCTACTCCTAGTAATGAATCGTGTAAATCTCCTGGTTGTTCAGTAGCATTAGCATATTTAGGCAGTCTACTGTCAACCGTAATTCTGTAGTCACAACAGATTCTTTGTGTCGCCCCGTCCCATTTTATAATAATGTTACACTGGCATTCATGTGAAGAGTAAATTACTAACTAGTTCCATGAGGCTATCACTATTTAGTATATTTAAAGCCAGTCGATGACTCTTTATGTCATGTAACCACCGCTGTGGTTCTCCTATTTTCCTTCGTTTAGTCATAAAGCATATTGGAATCAAACTCAACGATACACTGCAGTTGAGTCTCTTCAGGCATTCATTTTAGACCATCAGAACTCAAAGATAATGTTCGGAATTGAAAAATATGTAACTTTCCCACCGCTGTAAAAATCAGGTATGTGTGAATTATGCTGCCTGGTCGGAAACGTCAATGTTTGCCGGTCTGTGCGCTTGGATGAGTTTTCTCAAAAATGTAGGACAAGTGGTGCATAAATTTATGGACGGAAACAAGTAGGTGTCGCCATTTCGGTAGATGTGAGAATTTTCTCCCGTTCATTATATAGCACAAAAGAATCACTGCTTCCCATAACTAAGCTGAAATGTCAACCTGACTTTCAAATATGACTTGATTTCGATCCTAGTAATAGTTTAAATGAGTTACTTAATCCTAGCAAGTAGTTTATCTAACAAGTGAATATATCAGATTGCATTTAGCATCTCTTGATGATCATGCAAATGATTCTGGGAATTGCATATTCGACTGTTTTTACATTCAGCTAAAGAATGAACGTTCTCACATCTATCTAAGTGAGTTCAGAGATAACATCAAACTTCACAATGTCAGTCCCAATAATATTCCTAAGCATACATTGCTGCATGAACAGTCGCCTTAACGGCGTTGTAGGATTGAGATGCCACACATTTGGTTCTACATCAATATTCAAATCCTTATAAGTAAATTCCAATATAACAATGAGAACTTATGATCACAAATGAATTTTTAGAATGGGTCAACTGAGGTGTCGGTTATCAGTATTTAACATCTCACACTCACTAATCGCAAACTGTACTCAAATGTCACTAAGAGACCAGTATACGTTTCCATATATTCAGGTGGACACCACTAATAAGTTGTCATCTTTTATATTTTGCGAACGTTTGGTTCAATTGATAAGAACACCCGAACTAGCAGCAGACGCGATGATCACTAGTACCACTTGTCAACCGGAAACGTTATGCAACGGCAACTTGGTACTTAGGTACTGACGCTAGAGCTCAGGCGATAAGAGCTGATAGCTCGTAGGTGATCTTTGACGCATGGGAGATAGTTATAGCACACGCTAGTCAAAAGTTGGACAGCAGAGACACGCCACTCGATAACCCGTCGTGAGATGTTAGTCTTTGTATGTTTTTTTTAATTATTCCCGACATTATCTTTCGGGGTACAAATTTCAGGTCTACAGACAAGAGACGACACTGGCGTTGATATCATAATATGTATGGTCAGGAAGGTAAGTGTTGGAGAGAAAACCCTCAAATTTCAGCAAGGATTCAAAGACTATATATATTATATAGTCTTTACAAGTGATTCATGATAGTCAGTCTGACATAGCTTCAACGGTGAACTTTGCACAAAAGTTCACCACTTCAAATTGCCACACTTCATATAATCACACATAAGGGTAGATTT